AGACGGAGTTTCACCATGTTGACCAGGATGGTCTCGATCTCTTGACCTCGTGATTCACCCACCTCGGCCTCCCAAAGTGCTGGGATTACAGGCTTGAGCCACCGCGCCCGGCAATTTTTTTTTTTTTAAAGACGGGGTTTCTCCATGTTGGTCAGGCTGGTCTTGAACTCCCGACCTCAGGTGATCCGCCTGCCTCGGCCTCCAGAGTGCTTGGATTACAGGCGTGAGCCGCTACGCCCAGCAAAATTTAATTTTTATATATGGAAGAAGGAAAGGGTTAAACTGAGTTATTTTGCTTGTGGATATCTATAGCATTCCCTGCAGCATTTATTGCAGAGACTGCCTTTTTCCTGTTTGTGCTTATAACACCCCCATTTGAAGATCGTTTGACCATATACATGGGGGTTGATTTCTGGTGTCTGTATTCTGTCCCATGGGCTCATGTCTCTGTTCTGGGACCACACTGATTTGACTACTGTATGGAATTGATTTTTAATTTCCCTTTTTTCTCTCTCATTTTTTATCTTTACTGTTTAGATACCCTTTATAGGAGTTTTCCTTGTCTTCTGATCCTGCTGTTGACGTTTGTTTTGCCACTGTAACGTGTCAGTGTCCAGGAAACCTCCCTTGGTCTCGGATCATTCTTTTTGCCCAGCAGTCTGTTTTGTTTCCTGTCTGAAATGGCTTTCCTCTCACCCTCTATGGGTAGTGCAGTTTTTCTGTGTGCATGTGTGTGTGTCTTGGGCTCAGCCCCATCATTACTCTCCTCTCCTACATCTGTCTGATATCACCCGTTCCAGACTCCAGGGAGTGGAGTATGTGTGAACATCGGAATTCTGAGCCCCACCTTCAGGCTGCTCCACTGCTTCTGAGACCCTCCACAGTTCCTCGAGGTTCATGGTTTGTCTGCTGTCTTGTTGCCTGGGCTGTGTTCTGGGGCTCTTGGATCCCAGGGCAGCCACTTGAAGCAGCCAGCCTGTCTGCAGCAGGGTTCCTGTGTGGCTGAGTCAGGCCGCTTTTCAGGTGAATGCAGTCTTCTGTGAAGCCTTGGGGTTTCTCTAAGCCTTCCTGGCCAGGGTTTCCAACTCCCTCACTTGCTAAGGTTGGTCATGGGGTATTTGAGAGTCTACAGAAAGATGCTTTGTCCCTCTTCCTGGGATGAGGGGAAGACAGGTTCTATTGGGTATACGCAAATAGAGACAGTACTTCCTTGTTTCCATTATTTTGAAATTGTGGCTGGATATTGTCTTGGATGGGGAATTGTCACAGAAAAGTCTTTGACTGACTTGTAGACCTGCTGCGCCTGACTCACCTCTTGCCCACACCTGACTCAGCAGTAGGGGTGAAGCACCTGCTCTCTCTCTGGGCAGAGTCTGAGATGCAGGAGCGAAGAATAGAAGAGGAGCAGCTCTGAACGCCCAGTAATTCAGCCGTGGGCTTGAGAAGGCTGAGTGCAGCCTTGAGAAGTGGCGGGGACTGCCTGTGCTGCCCTGCTCACATGGGGACAGTGGGGCAGAGCTACAGGTCTCCTTGGGGACTGGCTGGTCAGATGGGTGGGCTTACCCTACTGCCTGTGCCATGAGCCCTCCAAGGCAGGGCCAGAGGGGGCCACTCTTTACCAGACTCCGGCCCTGCTGGCCAGCCTTCCTCTGGACGGGAACCGTCTTATGGGAACTGAAGCTCCTTCCCTCTTCTTGAAATCCCAGCCCAGCCCCGAAAGCATAAATCTGTGGCTCTGGGAAAAAGGGAAGTGGCATAGCTGGGGCCTCCGGAGATTCCCCAAGTATGGAGGGGCCCAGCGGGCCCAGCTGCTGTGGGTGGCAAGGAAGGAGCTCATTCTCCAGCCTTGCTGCCCCTGCAGTCCCAGCCATGGTGGGTGGGGTCTTTACTTCTTTGTGCCTCTCCTGGCTCCAAAGAGGGTTTGCAGTGTCGTGGGCCAGGCCTGGCCACACACAAAGCTGTCCTTCTAGGGGCAGCCAGGGCTCTGGAGGTTCCAGTTTGAGACTTTCCCTCTCTTGTTTAGAAAGGGAAATATACCTGTGAGAAAGAACTTTGAGTCCCCATTTTGTGCCTTCCCCGGTGTAGTAAAAATAGCTGTATTGTATGGAGAGCTGAGAGTTGAGGCCGAGCACCCCAGCTGGCTGAGGTGCAGGACCTGCCCACAGCCAGGAGATGAAGAGGTCCCTTTTTTACCCTCTGATGTTGGGAAAACAGCCTAGCCATGTGTTTCCTCCAAGCCCAGCTGCCCGGGGAGCACCCCTGGACCTTCCCAGAGTCACAGATTAAGGGGCATGATCCGGAGGAAACAGTGGTTGGTTCACGCCTTTGAGGGCTCACGAAGAGGAAGGAGCAGGGGTGTTCAGTGCAGGAGGTTTTGTCTTCTCTCCTGCCCCGGAGATTACATGTGCCCATGCAAGCAGAAGGTGATGTAAGAGAAAACCCTGTCTCTGTGAGAATACTAATAGTTCACGATTTTACAGCCCTACACCCAGGAGCACATTGTCATTTTTTAAAATGAGGAAGGCAGGGAAAGATCTCTCAGTGCAAGTTTAAAAACAAGTTGGAAAATAATGTGTTCAGTGTTATACTTGTTATGTGAAAATACACGTGTGTCTGTGTTATGTACGTGTGCGTGTCTCGTCACTCATCTGTTCTAGAGACTTAGAAATGATCTCAAAGCCTGCACCCCAAGCAGTGATTTCTTCTGGGAAGCTGGGAGGGTAGAGGGACAGGCTTATTTTGTTTTCTTTATTTTATATACTCTAAATGGTTGAATTGGTTACAACTAAAGATAAAATAGAAAAAAGTTGACAAATTTTCAAAACAGATTTTTTTCATGATTCTTAGAGATATGGGAAAGGGCTGGAAATCGGGCACTGGTGACATCCTGCTCACCTTTGCCTGGGGTACTTCCCCCCAGCCACTCTGCCCTCTCTGTCCCGTTTCCTGCCTTTTACATTCTGAATTTTACCACTTGTCTTTCTCTCTCCTTCCTTCCTTCCTTCCTTCCTTCCTTCCTTCCTTCCTTCCCTCCCTCCCTCCCTCCCTCCCTCCCTCCCTCCCTCCATCCCTCTTTTCTCTCTTTTCTCTTTCTTCTCTGGCTCTGTTGCTGAGGCTGGAGTGCAGTGGCGCTATCACAGCTCATTGCAGCCTCAACCTCCTGGCCTCTAGGTGATCCTCCCACCTAAGCCTTCTGAGTAGCTGGGACTACAGGTGTGCACCACCACGCCTATTTCTATTTTTTGTTGAGAGAGGGTCTCACCACTTTGCCCAGGCTTAGTTTGCTTTCTGATTTATTGTTTATGGTTTTCTGTCCAGTTTCATTCTAAATGCTTTTTGTAGTTACCATCTCAAAACAGTCTGAAAGAGGGGACAGATGTTCACAGGTCACGCCTCTTTACCCTGTCTGAACTTCTGTGTACTCCTGTCTAAGAAGGGATGAGTAATTTGATTAGCAAATAGGGCAGGCCCATGCAGATGCTGAGTAGATTATTATTTTCACCTTCACAGCATCTGAGACCATGAACCAGTTTGTTCATTCTCAGTGTGGATACTGTCTGTTTTTATAGCTTATCAACAGGTGTTTAATTAAAAGTTCAGATGTGTTCACCTTCTGCAATCACAGTTAAATGTCGTGGTCAAGATTCTACTTAATGTTAATTTTTTATTTTTTATTTATTTTTTATTTTTTTTAGAGACAAGATCTTGCTCTGTCACCCAGGCTAGAGTGCAGTGGTGTGATCACAGCTCACTGTAGCCTTGAATCGAGGGCTCAAGTGATCCTCCCACCTCAGCTTCCTGAGAAGCTGGGACTACAGGCTCACACCACTGTACCTGGCTAACGTTAATTTTTATATCATTGATTATATTGTTTTCCCGAGTAAAATGAGGAGCATACAGGTTTTCCACTGGGGAGTTGATCTGAACAGATTTCAATTCCTCATACATTCTTCTTCTGACTCTGACCTTTCTACCACCTGTGGATGATGGCAAGTAAACGCCAGCCGCCACATTAAAGCGACATCTATATAGAACTAGAACTGGCATTTTCTGTGCTATGCTTTGCTGGAAAGATGTTGCTTGTTTCATGTTTACAGATTGATTATGAATGAGCTTGATTGACTTTTCATGTTGTCGTTTCCTTATATTTTCTCTTTTTTAGAATTGTTCCTTAGTTCTTGTGCTTACCTTATAGGCTGAACCATATGAAATTCCCATTTTTGTAGGTCAGAATGATGGCCTAATATTGGTGGTTTTATGTGGTTTATCTGAATATCTTTAGAGCATTAATGTTTTTTATGTTTTAACAACATTTTCTAGTTATACAAGTGTTCTACTTGTTCTAAAATTTTTGAGATAATGTAAACATATGTAAAATAGGAAATATAAATGTGTAATACCATGAAAGCATCTCTTACCATTTTGGTGTATTTGTTTCTTTTTTTCCCCTTTTTAAAAATATATTTTCCCCCAGAAAGTTGCAGAAGCTTCTTGGTAGAATTGTTATAAGGCATAAATGAATTATTATATGTAAATTGTCCAGTAACTATATTAGTTGTTATTATTAGTAGTATAAACAGTTTTTATTCTGCTACTGCCTATGCAATTAAATATTTTTCAGAAATGTGATTTTTGGCTGGGTGCAGTGGCTTACACCTTGTAATCCCAGCACTTTGGGAGGCCGAGGCAGGAGATCATTTGAGTCTAGGAGTTTGAGACCAGACTGGGCAACACAGTGAGACCCCCATCTCAGTTAAATAAATAAATTAGCTGGGCACAGTGGTGTGCATCCATAGTCCCAGCTACTTAAGAGGCTGAGGCAAGAGTATCTATCTCTTAAGCCCAGGAGTTCACGGTTACAGTGAGCTATGGTTGTGCCACTGCACTCTAGGCTGGGTGACAGAGTGAGACCCTGTCTCTAAAGAAACAAAAATAAATAAATGTTATTTTCAAGACTGTTTAATATTCTGCCATATAAATATACAATAACCTGACAAACTATTCTCTCATTGGCTATTTTAGGTTATTTTGTTCCTTTCTTTATATAAATAGTATTCTGATGAACTCATATCTTTGTCTATAGCTCTATTTTCTTAAATATAAGGAATTTCATGTAAGTGAGATAACAAGGCCAGTTAATATTTTAAGTATTCTTGATATGCAGACAAAGTATTCCCCAGAAATGTTTGCTAGTTCCTTCATCCAGCAGTGGGTGAGATCCCCTGCTTACGACAGGCATCCAGGGTTTTTAGTCTTAATAATTTGACAGTTACAAATAGCATATTTTGGTTTTAATTTCAGCATTTTTAGATGATTATTAATTATATATTTATTTTGTGATTTATTAATATCCTCTGTATTTTTATTGACGTTTCCTTTTTTTATATTGTAAGCACTTTTATTTAGTACAATTTAGTAAAACTTTTACTCATCATTTGTAAAAAAAAATAATAATAATAAGCCTTGTAAGAAAAAAACTAAATTTGTATATGTATATCAAAAAATTAATCTGGGTCAGGTATGGTGCCTCACACCTGTAATCCCAGCACTTCAGGAGGCCAAAGCAGGCAGATCACTTGAGGTCAGGAGTTCCAAGACCAGCCTGACCAAAGTGGTGAAACCTCATCTCTACTAAAAATACAAGAATTAGCCAGGTGTGATGGCATACACCTGTAATCTCAGCTGCTTGTGAGGCTGTGGCGGAGAGTCACTTGAACCCAGGAGGCGGAGGTTGCAGTGGGCTGAGATCTCACCAGCCTGGGCAATAGAGAAAGACGCTGCCCCTCCCGCCCCCTCTCCCAAAAAAAACTTAGACTGTATGCTGGCCAAAATATTAATAATAGTGTTTTTAGATGGTAGTGGAATTTTTGATGGTTTTAGTTTTCTTTATACTACGTATCTCTATTTTCTAATTATTCTGTAATAGTTTCTTTTATTCTTTCTTTTTTTTGAGATAGGGTTTCACTCTGCTGCCCAGGAGAACAGTGGCATTATCATGGCCCACTGCACCCGTGAACTCTTGGGTTCAAGCAGTTTTCCTGCCTTTGTCTCCCAAAGTGTTAGGATTTTGTCTCACAAAGCATGATGGTCACCATACCTGACCTAATGGATTTTTCTTATACAACAAAGAAATTATGGTTCTTATGACTGATGACTGAGGGACTGTTTATCCTCATTCCCTGTTAACCTGCTCTGGCCTCTCCTGCAAAGATAGAGCTAAGTCCTCTCACTGCTCGGCCCTGTGAGGCCCCCTGGTGCCTTCCCCACATGCCAGCTCCTGCCCCCGCCTAGACCGCATAGCTCAGCACTCGCCTTTAGTGTGGGAACGGGAGGGGAGTCAGGACAGTGTCCTGATGTTTTCTTTTTCCCTTGCACACTGCCAGCCTGCTATGGGATGGATGAAGAAGAGAATCACTATGTCTCACAGCTCAGGGAAGTCTACAGCAGCTGTGACACTACAGGGACCGGCTTTCTGGACCGTGAGGAGCTGACCCAGCTCTGCCTTAAGCTTCACCTGGAGCAGCAGCTGCCTGTTCTCCTGCAGACACTTCTCGGAAACAATCACTTCGCCAGGGTGAGTGTTAGACTTGTCGTGAAGAAAAGCACAGGGGTCTATGATTGGCTCCTAAGGGCATTTGATAAATATCAACTGAATAAGGATACAAGCGTCAAAGTAAAGTTATTAGAAAATGGAACAGTGTCCTAGTTTTTCCCTCTATGGAAATTCTACATTGTAGAAAGTGGTTTCTTAAGAGACCATTACTTGTTTTTAATGTAACTTCCAGAGATTTTGTTTTTCCAGAAAGATATTTTAGTGGTTTGTCACAGGGGCAGGACGGGGAGGGAGTTTCGTATGGGCCAGTGGTATGTGGTTCACAAAAACCATATGGGCTGGACCTGTGAGCAGCTCACACTGGTAATCAGAGAAAGCATCACAGTCCCTAGAAGGCGGATTGTCTGATACAGTTTCACAGTTTGAAATCCATCTAGGAGCTGGACAAAACAATTGCAAGCTACAGTTGCAAGAATGAAGGATAGCCATGTCCAGAGGTATCACATAATTTCATCTAGGCCAGATAGAAAATGTGAAATTGGAGGGTTCTTTTCGATCAGAAGGTCAAGATACCTAGAATGGGGATCTAGGTCCTAGACTACAACCTGCTTTCATGATCAAAACACTAAAAAGCACCTGCCCATTTCTACTTCTTTTTATTTTTAAGTTCTGGGGTACATGTGGAGATCGTGCAGGATTGTTACATGGGTATACATAGGCCATGGTGGTTTTCTGCATCCATCCCCCCGTCATCTACATTAGGTATTTCTCCTAATGTTATCCCTCCCCAATACCCCCACCCCCTGCTGTCTCTCCACTAGCCCCCCCCACCTCCCAAAAGGCCCCTGTGTGTGATGTTCTCCTCCCTGTGTCTATATTTTCTCATTGTTCAACACCCACTTATGAGTGAGAGCATGTGGTGTTTAATTTTATGTTCTTGTGTTAGTTTGCTGAGAATGGTGGTTTCCAGCTTCATCCATGTCCCCGTAAAGGACATGAACTCATCCTTTTTTATGGCTGCATAGTATTGCATTGTGTATATGTGCCACATTTTCTTTATCTAGTCTATCATTGACGGGCATTTGGGTTGGTTCCAAGTCTTTGCTAGTGTAAACATGCTGCAGTGAACATATGTGTGCATGTGTCTTTATAGTAGAACAATTCATAATCCTTTGGGTATATACCCAGTAATGGGATTGCTAGGTCAAATGGTATTTCTATTTCTAGATCCTTGAGGAATCGCCATGATGTCTTTCACCATAGTCGAACTAATTTACCCTCCCACCAATAGTGTAAAAGTGTTCCTATTTCTCCACATCCTCTCCGGTATCTTTTGTCTCCAAATTTTTTAATGATCGCCATTCTAACTGGTGTGAGCTGGTATCTCATTGTGCTTTTGATTTGCATTTCTCTAATGACCAGTGATGAGCTTTTTTTTCACGTTTGTAGGCTGCATAAATTCTTTTGAAAAGTGTCTGTTCATATCCTTCGCCCACTTTTTTGTAGGGTTGTTTGTTTTTTTCTTGTAAATTTGTTTAAGTTCTTTGTAGATTCTGGATGTTAGCCTTTTGTCAGATGGGTAGGTTGCAAAAATTTTTTTCCCATTCTGTGTTCCTACTTCTTAAATGTTCTCGGATGTTAGTGCTAAAAGCAGTGCCTTATCTTGTTGGTCATCTTAACTATGAAGGAATAACTTCTTTTTCACAAGACTCAGTATTTTCTTTTTATTTGTTTTTTGAGACAGGGTGTCACTTTGTCATCCAGGCTGGAGTGTAGTGGAGTGATCTTGGCCCACTGCAACCTCCACCTCTCAGGCTCAAACGATCCTCCTGCCTCAGCCCCACAGTAGCTGGGGTTACAGGCCTGTGCCACCACACCCGGCTAATTTTTGTATTTTTTGTAGAGACGGGGTTTTGCCATGTTACCCAAGCTGTTCTCGAACTCCTAAGCTCAAGCAATCCACCTCCCTTGGCCTCCCAAAGTGCTGTGAATGCAAGTGTGAGCCACTGCACCCACCAGTATTTTTATTTTGAATGAGAGGGGAAAAACCCAGCCAGTAAATTTTCCTGAATTGGCCCTTGGGCCAAAACAAATGAGGAAAAGAACACTTACTGCTGGCCTAGTAGAGTCCAGGTGAATCAGACCTCTTGTTAGTTCCTCAAAGAAGCCTCGCCTGCCCTGTCAGCAGAGTACTGTGCCTCCCTTGTAAGGAACTCTTCTCAGGCAAACTCATGCCCTTTCTCTGACTTTGTTTTCTATTCCTGCCTTTTAAAATGGGCTTAAGAAAGCAAATGTATTATTGATAGATAATGATCTAGCCTCTTTTGATATCATCCGGAATTGTGTTTGGGACCTAGATGAGCAAAAGTCACATTTGTGAAAAATTGAGTCTTTATCTTGCTGAATTGATATTTTTTAAAAATTGAGAATTTAGAAATTAAACTTTGGAAAATTCCAAAACAAAAGAGTAACTTTTAGGTCCACGTTGAGATTGCAGGCTCTGGTGATTGATAAGCCATGCCATTCCCAAGCTTTTCGTCACCTTATACTTTGTATTTACAGGAATGATACAAGACAGAAACATTCAAATATGACAGCATAACCATGATGAGTATTAGAACATTAACAAGGAGAAAAAATCAGCTTGGGTTACATGAGCTTTCTGACTTGAAACCTGTCCATGCGTCCTGAAAAGCGGCTCATCTGAGTCAGAATTTCCTTCCAGGAGGCCTGAGGCTTCTCATATGTGTGGGGAGGGTGTAAGAAGAAAGATGGGTACCACAAGCAGTTGCAGGAGCCAGGCCCTTTCTGACTCAGCTCCCCCTGGAACAGCCATGAATGTCTAGCCATCATCCTTCTGCCTGTCCCATCTCCTTTCTGTCCTATAGCCATGATTTTCTGTTCCCAGAAAGCAAGTCAGATGTTAGATAAACTAAGAAGTAACTTTGTTTGCACTGGTGCTCTTGACTCTACCTGACATTATCCTTTCTCTTCTCTCTGTAACATTTCGAGAGCACCCTGCCGCCACTGCAAGTGCCCAGTGTTCACCTCTCTCTCACTTGATCCTGTCCCCTCCGAGATGGTTGGTCATGGTGGACAATTTTTCTGTTCTGGCTCTGCTTGCTTCCCTGCTTCGTCCCACAGACAGGGCAGAGCTCCCACAGCCCCTATCATACAGAGATTTAGGGGAAGCAGGTATCAAGCCAGAAATATCCATGTAGGTGTCCCTGCTTTTCTACAACAAACCAAATGGTAGAGATTTCAGTGAGTCTTAAAGAAAACCGAGATAAACCCTTTATCCAGGAGAATGAATTGGCTTTTTGATTCAAATACTACATATCTAGGCCAGCCGTGGTGGCTCACTCCTGTAATCCCAGGACTTTGAGAGATGGACGTAGGCAGATCACCTGAGATCAGGAGTTCGAGACCAGCCTGGTCAGCATAGTGAAATCGTGTGTCTACTAAAAATACAAAACTGAACCACTCATGGTGGCAGGTGCCTATGACCGCTACTCAGGAGACTACTCAACTACTCAGGAGATTGAGGTGGGAGAATTGCTTGAATACAGGAGATGGAGGTTGCAGTGAGCTGAGATTCACACTACTGCACTCCAGCCTGGGCGACAGAATGAGACTCCATCTCAAAAAAAACCCATAAAAGCAGTTCTTGAGGTCAGGAGTTCGAGACCAGCCTGATCAACATGGTGAAACCTCGTCTCTACTAAAAATACATAAATTAGCCAGATGTAGTGCCGTGCATCTGTAATCCCAGCTACTTGGGAAGCTGAGGCAGAAGAATTGCTTGAACCCAGGAGGCAGAGGGTTCGGTGAGCCAAGAATGCACCATTGCACTCCAGCCTGGGCAACAGAGTGAGACTCCATCTCAAACAAAACAAAAAAAAAAACAGAAAAAACAAATACTACCTATCCTTGTGGTAACTAACATGTGATATTATATAAATGTTAGTTATTGATACAGAAATCTCATTATAAAAATGAAACAATCCAGGTGTGGTGGCTCACATGCGTAATCCCAGCACTTTTGGAGGCCAACCTGAGAGGATTGCTTAAGCCTAGTTCAAGATTAGCCTGGGCAACAGAGTGAGACCTTGTCTCTACAAAAAAATTTTAAAGGTAGCTGGGTGTGGAGGCATGTACCTGTTATTCTAGCTACTTGTGAGGCTGAGGTGGGAGGATTGCTTGAGCCCAGGAGTTTGAGGCTATAGTGAGGTGTGATTGTGCCACTGTACTCCAGCCTAAGCAATAGAGTGAGACCCTGTCTCTGATATATATATATATACACAAAAAAAACACATATACATATGTGTGTGTTATATATATATTATATTGTCATATATATATATATATTCAGAAGAAAATGGATGGTCACATCTGTATTGAACAGGTACAGACTTTTTTCTTCCATTTACATTGTATTGGCTATTATAAGTAACCTAGAGCTAATTTAAAATATACAGGAGGTTATGTGTAGGTTATATGCAAATACTACATTTTATACAAGGGACTTGAGCATCTGTGGATTTTGGTATCTGCCAAGGGTCCTGGAAGCAATCCCCCAGGCATACTGTGGGACAATTGTAATTTGAAGTTGAAAGTACCTCGAGACCACACACACCAGCCCCTTTACTTTGTGATGAATGAGTCTGAGATCATGCAGAGTTGGGATGGTTTATCCTATTGGTGAAATACCTGAATATATGGGGTTGCCACTCACCTTTTGTGAACTTTAGAGAAGGACACAGGAAAACAGACAAGCATGGTCAAGATGGTATCAGACTAAAATGGCACCAAACTGGGCCATCAGATCCCACTGCTCTTTGATGGATGGCAGAAAGCCAGCTGGTAATTATTATCAAAGACACAAAAGGATCTGCGATTAAAACAAGTAAAATTCTAATTTTATTATTCATCTAGTATTTGACAACTATCTTTTGGAAACTTATTATGTGCTAGGCAACACCAGATGCTAGGGATGCAAGGAGGAAAGACTCACAGTTTCT